TAATAAATAAAATCTTTAAAAAAAAAAATAAATAAATAAAATTTAAAAAGACATGTGCCATTTTACTGCTTTTGTTTCTGATTTTAAATTCACAAGAGACCCCAAACACTGCCAAGCACATGCTTTTATTCATACTTCATTAGAACTCATGTGTCTCCTTGACTTTCACATGAGAAACAGTAATATTAGAAAGGCTAAGCCATACCTTAAAACTGGCCATAAGTACTTTTCCTATGATATATGCTCGAAACATGCATTTGTCATGTGTTTTTCCCTGAAGGAGTTGTCATGAGGACTCTTGCTATCCCTATAGCACTTCATAATTAGGAGGAAATAAAGTATCCTTCTTCATCACATCCATTTACTAATTAGCCAAACTACATAAAACATGCTTTGGCCCAGCGCCGTGTCTCTCTACGCTGCAGACCCCATCTTTGGCAGGAAAAGACCCTGCATTCTAGAGGCAGCACAAGCTAATTACACTAGTTTATCTCCCGTCACCTTATCAAACAAATACCCAAAAAGAAAATACCATGCTAGAAAAAGTACAAACACACAACATCCTCAATTTTATTCACCAATACTCCGACCTACAGAACCACAGCCCACAGATGGACTGACTTCTGCACCCATGAATTGCAAATTGCCTCTTCTAACAACAGCTCCCTGGCTCTGATGAGCTGGTAGTGTTCCACAAATCTGTCGGCTCCTGAGATTCAGCCCCGCGCCTTCCTCCATGCCCGTGGCTTCAGCTTCAGCCATAAACCTCACGTTGCCTATAAAATCGACTTCAGAGAAAAATGAAGTTCTTCTAACATGCCCCACAGCAGACACGGGTTATAAACATACACGAGGCCGCCACCGTCAGGGACCGTCAGCACCTCCCTTCACCCGAGAGGTGCCCAGAGCCTGAGCCCCCGCAGCGTCACTACGAGGGAAGCAGCGCAAGAAAGGAGCAAACACGCTCCCTGATGCGACTTTACGGGGTGACCTGGATGGAACTTCCGCTCTCACGTGCACAGTGTCTGTGAGAAATGAAGTGTGTCCTCCCGTGCGCTCTGTCAGCGGCCCGGGCACAGCTGAGAAGGATCTACGTGCTGTGGGGACCCTGGGACACACTGGCAGACGTCATTTGAAGAACTTCACCCAACGGCATGGGCTCTCGTCTAGGAGGCCCTTTTCATGGTATTTCTTATAAGAAAAGCGGGACTTCTGAGTGTATAGTCAAGTGCCCAGAACAACGTAAAGAGAGTTTTTTCTACCGACCAAGTATCTGCATTATAATATACGACTTCCTAATACCGAGTTTATAACATTTCAGAAAAGAGTAGTTGTGCACATCAATGACTCTTCTGGCTTTCTTTATTCAAAAATAAAACAGGCACAAAAAAAAACAGAACTAAAATGTCCAATGTCACCTGAAATAGCAGGTTCACCAAAAGGTTTAAAGGTAAACTTGCATTTTAGGGTATTAATTATAATTACTAGAGAGAGAATGAATTGTTTTTCAAAACATGTATCTCAGGAAAATGCTGACCAATGGGGCAGGTGGTTATTTCATCCCCTTTGTGCAGGGGAACCCACAGGTCTCGAAAGTCTCCCGAGCAGCAGAAGCCGCTCAAAGACGGCCCTCTTCCAGGTATAGGACATGGGCCTTTCCAGAAGGATGGAGTCTTCCTCAGGCTGCCCCTTGGCCAGGCTAACCAGCCACCCACAGGTACTTTCGCTTCCAGGGGAAAGTTGTGTGGATACATATGCATTCACGTTCCTCTCGAGGCACTCACGTTCTACCATCTATAACAGATGGTGCACAGTGATGGTTTTGGAACACAAAGTGGGGGCCTGGGGGAGGGGAAAGGACACACCAAGTGCCCCTACACATCACGCTCCAGGGCGCGGAGGTCCTCCAGGAGTTCCTGGGCCACGGTCTGCAGGTGAGGGTTGCGGCTCTTGGCCATGGCCAGGATGCGCTTCAGGGGCAGGGAGCTCTGGAACTCGGAGGCCGACTTGGAGAAGACTTCTGGCTCCAGGACCACAGACTGGACGAGTCGCAGTGCATGAAGACACACCTCTGCGTCTGGGTCTGGGGGAGAGAGGGAACACTTCTGGTTAGAATGAGACTCTACAGGAACAGTGGCAAAGTCTATCCCTCGAGAGCTCTCGGCCTTTCTGAGTGACAGGTCTGACTGTTCAGTAACTACCAGCTGACTGAGAAACAGTGTCACTTCTTGAGGTAAAAGCTTAGCTCGTAAGAGTGACGCAACAAAACTCAATGACCACTGATTTAGTGACATCCATCTTCAAATATTACTCACAATCAGATAACTTTAAGATGCTGAACTAAAAATATGAGGCCTTCGTGTTGATCGCTCCAACTCTGGCCACACAGGATTGTTTTAAGAAGTAGCGCTCCATCAGTACTGCAAGCACACCAGTCCTCAGAGGACACGTACGGGTACGGCAGCTCTCCAGGGCCCCCAGGCTCCCCAGAGTCACAGGCTGCAGGATGCACAGTGTTGCCATGTCCCTGAGGAGTCCCCTCCAGAGTTACAGAACCTGGAGCCCTGCACGCATGGTGGCACCACTAAAACACAGCTAGACACAAACAGCCCAACGCAACGCTGCATTCTAAACTAGGAGCGATCCAACTCTCCTTACTACTTACTCGTCCCTAGGGGAAACTCTAGTACGCCATCGATCCACTTCTTTTTTTTTTTTTTTTTTAAATATTTTATTTGACAGAAACACAGCGAGAGAGGGAACACAAGTAGGGGAGAGGGAGAAGCAGGCTTCCCGCTGAGCGGGGAGCCTCATGTGGGGCTCGATCCCAGGACCCCGGGATCATGACCTGGGCCGAAGGCAGGCGCTTAACGACTGAGCCACCCGGGCGCCCCCATCGATCCACTTCTTGATTGAATGTCGTAATTCCAACCAGGCTCAAAATCGGTACCTCTTTCTTAGCACTACACTTAAACCTTTTAAGAAGTGAGTAGGATTGCAAGAGCAGACTAAATAAGTCCTCAGTGAGAACTGCCACACACTAAGGCTGCCCAGAGGCTCTTGCTGTTGACCCAGGGCCCCCAGGGCCCAGTGAAGACTGCTGCACTCTGTCCAGGAGGGAGGGCAGGACATCCTGGGCCTGGATCATTAGAATCCTCCTACTTTGGGGGAGGAGGGGGCAACTTTCCCCAGTACGGGCCTGCCAAAGACCTGGTGCAGAGTGTGGCTGCCACAGGGAGGAGAACAGGATCACCAGGAAGGCCCCACCACCCAGACAAAGATGGACAGGAGCTGGACCAAAACACCAAAGAACTCCCTTTGTCCTCCAGCATCAGCCCAGCAAACTTCCAGCAGTCTACAGCTGGGAAAGGAGCAAAAGGAAGGAAGGAAGGAGACCCCCCGAACACAGACGCAAAGGGAAGGCCAGCATCTAAGGGTGGAACAGGGCACTGAGGAAGACTCTCGGGCAGCTCGGCCCTCACCCTCACTTAGCACAAGGAGAAGAGAGGCATTTGAAGCCTGTGGGTACACAGGAGGCAAGCACAGCAGCACCAAACCCACACCCATCCCATCCCGCACTGACAGCCCAGCAGAAGAAGAGGCTTGGCCATGTCCACAGGTGCACACTAGCTACCTCATTCTCTGCTGCAGAGGTTGGTACACTACAGCCCAGAGACCAAACGTAGCCCAGGAAACATTTCTGTATAGGCTGTAAGCTAAGAGTGATTTTTATATTTTAAAGGGATAGTTTTTAAAAAAGAGAGAGGGGGGAGAAGAATATGCAGCAGAAACCATACATGGCCCTAAAGATATTTACTATCTAGCCCATTACAGAAAAAGTTTGCTCTATTGCCCTGCACACAATGTCTAACATTCAATCAGAAATTACAACAAAGCAAGGGAAACAAAAGGCCCACGGTGGAGTGATAAAGTAATCAACAGAGCCAGGCTCTGAGATGACCCAGCTACAAGAACAACTAGAAAAGGAACCTGAACTAAATAGGAGATGGGAAAGCACTGCTGTAGGGTTCCCACAGGACATCTGAAGCAGTGCAGTACTATTTAAAGATTAATTAAGGTTGTATTGTAAACCCTAGGGCAAATCATAAAAAAGTTCTTAAAGTGTAAATGAGAAGCCAGCAGTATCGATAAAACAGAATATTAAAATAATCCAACAACAAACAAAAAAAGAGGAAAAAAGAAACTGGAGATATTTTTGTATTTCTTTCTATATACATTAAATGAAAACAGTATAAACACACTGATTAGAAAACAGAGAATGCACAAAACAGCAAGACTTCACTATGCATTGCCCACAAGACACCCAAGATAAAGACAAAGGTTAAAAGTAAAAACAAATATTTAAAATATGCCAAACAAACACTACTTAAAAGAGGGCTACAGAGCCTATATTATTACTAAACAAAGTAAACTTCAGAACAAGAAATGTTACCAGGACTACGGAGTAACACTCCCTAATGATAGAGAGGTCAAGACAGCAAGAAGACATAACAGTCTCAATTATGTATGTACTGAATAACAGAGCTTCAAAAGACCAAAGCTAAATATGATAGAATTCTACAGGCAAATCGATTCACAATTAGAGTTGAAAACTTTAATGTTATTTCCATTACTGATTTTAAAAAGTAAGGAGAGAAAATCAGTAAAAACACAGAACCCATGAACAACACAAACTAATTGAGTTTAGCAAGGTCAGCATACAATGATCAGTTGTATCCACATTTCAGTAAGGATACATTGGAAACAGAATGTGAATTGTGTAAGACTGATGAATCACAGATCTGTACCTCTGAAACAAATAATACATTATATATTTAAAAAAAAAAAAAAGAAGAAGATAGTAGGAAGGGAAAAATGAAGGGGGGGAAATCAGAGGGGGAGACGAACCATGAGAGACGATGGACTCTGAGAAACAAACTGAGGGTTCTAGAGGGGAGGGGGGTGGGGGGATGGGTTAGCCTGGTGATGGGTATTAAAGAGGGCACGTACTGCAGGGAGCACTGGGTGTTATACACAAACAATGAATCGTGGAACACTACATCTAAAACTAATGATGTAATGTATGGGGATTAACATAACATAATAAAATAAGATTTAAAAAAAGAAAAAATATTTAAATATTTTCTATTTAAATAAATTCTTTATTAAGAAAAAAAAGACTATCATTTACAATAGCACCAAAAACATAAAACATTTAGGTATAAATCTTATAAAATATGTGCACGTTTTGTATGCTAAAAACCATAAAACACTGATGTGAGAAAGTAAAGACAACCTAAGTAAACTGAGAGATATAACGTGCTTATGGACCAGAAGACCCAATATTGTTACGAGGTCAATCTACCCAGTGATCTACATATTCAGTGCTATCCCAATCAAAGTCCCATAAGCTTGTTTGTAGAAATCAACAAACGGGGTGCCTGAGTGGCTCAGTCGGTTAAGCGTCTGCCTTCGGCTCAGGTCATGATCCCGGGGTCCTGGGATCGAGTCCCGCATCGGGCTCCTTGCTCCGCGGGAAGCCTGCTTCTCCCTCTGACCCTCCTCCCTCTCATGTTCTCTGTCTCTGAGTCTCTCTCTGTCAAAAAAATAAATAAAATCTTTAAAAAAAAAAAATTAAAAAAAAAAAAAGAAATCAACAAACTAATTCTCAAATTTATTTGGAAAAGTGAAGGAACTAGGACAGCCAAAACAATTTAGAAAAACAGTGAAAGACTCAGAGTACTTGATTTCAAAACTTACAGTCATCAAGACAGTGTGATACTGGTGAAGGGACAATCAGAGAGATAAACGAAACAGGATTAGAGAACACTGGAACAGACCACAGTTTTGTAAAATCTCAACAAACATATAAATGCATTTTATATTTTTTTTAGAAATGCATTTTAATCGAAAAAAATAATAGCCTTTTCAGGTTGCCTGGCTGGATCCGTCAGTGGAGAGTGGGAATCTTGATCTCGGGGTTGTGAGTTAAAGCCCCACGCTGGGCATAGAGATTACTTAAATTAATTAATTAAAAAAAAAAGATTCCTCAGGGCGCCTGGGCGGCCCAGTCAGTTAAGTGTCCAACTCTTAGTTTCGGCTCAGGTCATGATTTCACGGGTGGTGAGACAGAGCCCCGTGTCAGGCTCCACACTCAGCAGGGAGTCTGCTGGAAGATTCTCTCCCTCTGCCCCTCTCCCCACATGCTCTCACTCTCCCTCTCTCTAAAATAAATAAATCGTAAAAAAAAAAGATTCCTCAAGTAACTCATGGCTGCCTTAATGTTGATATTTCATCAAAAACTAAATACAGCCTTATCTTGACACACAGCCAGACCTTCAAGATCCAGTACGCCCTACTTTCAGCAAACAGAAAGAAATGCCTTAGAAACTTACGTTATCTCTACCCCGCCCCTCCCTCCACAAACTTAAAAGTAGATAATCAGTCACTCCTCACCAACCCCAGTGCAACTCTTTTAGCCTATGGTCCCATCCCAGTGCTATAATGAAAGCACCTTTTTGTACCATAAAAAAATTAATTTTAAAAATAATAGCCTTTTCAAAAACCGGTGCTGGAAAAATTGAACACCCATATGTAAAAACAGAGAACTTGAATCCATACCTTGCCTCACATATAAAACTTACATTAAAATTAATAATAGACTTAAATGTAAAACCTAAAACACCAAGAACTTCTAGAAGAAAACAAGAGAAAATCTTTGTAACCTTGAGTTTGTAAGAATTCCTTAGATATAAAACCAAAAGCACAATCCATACAAGAAAAAAAATGAATAAGCTCTATCAAAATTAAAGACATCTGCTCTTCAAAAGACATAGTTAGGAAATGAAAAGATGAACCAGTAGGCCAGGAGAAAATACTTGTAAAACATGTATCCGATTTATTAAAAAGCCCAACTGAATACAGAATATAAACTCAAAAATACTCAATAACAAACAACCCAATAAAAATTGTCAAAATATTGGAAAAGACAGATCTTTTCACGTGCTTACTTCCCATTTATGTCTCTTCTTTGGTTAAATGTATTTTCAAATAATTTATTCACAGTGTCTTTGCTCATAGTTG